ATATTTTGGCAAGCATCCCCTTGAGCGATGGGCGGACAACAAAGCAATTGACTCCAGGATCACAAAGACCAGCCAGGCACCAGGGCAGCTTCATCCTACAGTGCTCAATCAATGCATCTACATCTCCACAAAGGCGTGGTTATTCCTTCCTTCCTATTGAATGTGAGCGTTGGACTCTTGTTCTGAAGGCACATCAAACCACTGGAGAAGTTTCTCACAGATGCTCTTCATTCTTGTCTCCAATCTTGGATCGCGTGGAGTCCTCCGGCATGGAGTTCCTGATGATCAAAGCTCAGATGAGATGGGTCAGACACATCATCAGAATGGATGACCGCCGTATGCCTCACGAATTGCTCTCTAGGAGCGTTTTCCAACCTTGGCACTTGAAGAGGTGTGGACTTCAACTCCCAGAATTCCCACACATCTTCAAACTGCCGGTGTTGAGAAACACAACTCCGTAGTATCCTGGAATTTGGGAAGAGACCTCAAAGTCGACCACACAAGAAACCCTACGTCTGGGGTCTTCAAACTTGACCGCTTTAAGATGTGTGGACTTCAACTCCCAGAATTCCTCCTCCTCCAGTCATGTCAGCTCAGGAATTCTGGGAGTTGAAGTCCACAAGTCTTAAACTTGACCAAGTTTGAAGACCCTTGCCCTATGTCATTGTGACATCCAGTCAGGGGAACTAGAAAGCTGGTCATGGTGACAGCACCTATTGGCAAACCCTGGAGGCTTAGAATTAGAATTAGAATGAATGAGGTGGAAGGGACCTTGGAGATCTTCTAGTCCAGCCCCCTGCTGGAAGCCTCCATCAGTTTTGAAGACAGAAAACCGTGAGTGACATCAAATAATAACACCCACAGTTACTGCAACCATGCACTTCCAGTGCTCCCATAGTGCCAGACTGGGGCTGCAGAATCAGCATTGTGTCCACAGATGAACTGTCTTCTTCATACATAAGTACACATGCTGGCCACACTGATGCTTCAGCACCAGGAATAGAGATTATGAATGAATGAATGAATTCTTTATTGGCCAAGTGTGATTAGACACACAAGGAATTTGTCTTGGTGCATATGCTCTCAATGTACGTAAAAAGAAAAGATACATTTCATCAAGAATCATCAGGTCCAACACTTAATGATGGTCATAGGGTACAATAAACAATCAAATCATACTAGGAAACAGTCCATATAAATTGTAAGGATACAAGCAACACAGTCATACACTCACAAGTGGGAAATGCTTATGGAAGCATTTAAGCACTGCATACAAGTTAACTTTGACGCCACAGAAAACCCAAACACAATTCAGATGAATCGAGAAGCAAATGTCTGGATTTGCCACATTTTCCAGCCTGGAGATACTTTCCTCTCTGAACTGGCTTCCTTCCTTCCTTCCCAAACACAAAATCTGCTCTCTGTGGGGTGCTCAATAATACCGCCCCTCTTTATCACATTGTTCCAGGGTGGGGTCCTCACCAAGCCCCTTTGTGTCTGTTTAGAGATGTGGCTGGCACAAGCAAGCGGGGGGGGGGGGGGCCGGGGCATTTTTGGAAAAAGGGGGGGGCGGGGGGGGGAGGACGGGAGGGGGAGCAGGGCAGGCCAATCCTTTTGGCTTTAGGTTAGTCTGTTGTTCGATTTCAGCAACAGAGTTGTCAATGTCTGGAACTCACAACCTGACTCTGTTGTTACATCCTCAAACCCTCCACTCCTTTACCCTTAAAACTATCCATTATTGACTTTACCCCATTCCTAAGAGGTCTGTAAGGGGCGCGCATAAGTGCACCATCGTGCTTACCATCCCTGTCCTATTGTCTCCATTTAATCGTACCTATTTCCTGCATTCATACTCACGTTTATTCTTATATCTATTATCTTGTAAGCCAAGGGTCTTCAAACTTGACAGCTTTAAGACTTGGGGACTTCAACTCCCAGAATTCCTCCTACAATCATGTTAGGTCAGGAATTCTGGGAGTTGAAGTCCCCAAGTCTTGCCAAGTTTAAAGACCCTTGTTGTAAGCGATTGACAAATCAAATACACAAATAAATAAAAATAAATTCAGATCCTGGAGACTCCGTGGACAAGTCCAGGCCATTGTTCCTTACGTTCCAGGATGTTTTTAGACTTCCCCTCTCCTCTTGGTCTCTCGTTCAGATCTGAAGCGCTATCTCTTAGCTTGCCATCTGCTCCTTCGTTTCCTTTCTGGAGAGAGTCGTGCTACAAAAAACACATTGTCTTCACCAGACGCAGAATAAACAGCCTAAGTCCAGGGTCACCAAAGGCGACTTAATAATTTCAGGCTGCTTGTAACTGGATCTCTCTCTCCTTATCTGCTGCGCTCTTTACGGAGCCACCGGCCAACAGCAGCACCCCTTCCCCACTCTCAGAATCAGTAATAAATATAAAAACCACATATATAGCTGTACAAAAGTTGGCTACCGTAACACTAAGTAGTAAAGAGTGAAAGCAGTAAGTAAAAAAGAAGAAGAAAGTGTATTAAAGGAAGAAGCAGAAGTTTCCAATTTCCTTTGCAGCAACTATAATGGCAGACAATTATGACATGATCTCTTATGCTATGATTACCAATGAAAGTTCACCCTTTTTATTATCCAGGGGTCTTTTCCCCCCGGCAATCATCAAAACCCCAAATCATAAATGCATTTTTTTCCGTTTTATGCAAACAGACCGTAAGGGGTTTTCAGTCAGCCATAAATCAACCGCCGTTTTTTTCCAAGGGTTACAGAGAAGGAGCTTGGTCAAGGAGCAAGCAAGACGAATTGGGCTCCCACGCACGTGGCACACTGGCCAACCTTGGCTGGACTGGGAGACCAAGACTGGGATTTATTTTATTTTTTTTAAAGACTCCTGGAAAGGCAGGGGCAGCCCACTTCTTTGCTGCTGCCAAAAGCAAAGTCTGGATGAATCCATGCGGTCAGCGAGGGCTCGACTCCAAGATCTGAATGCTCGAAATGTCTCTTGCACGTTTGGGGGCGATCAATGAGAATAGTGCTGGAAGGGACCTTGGAGGTCTTCTAGTCCAACCTGGAAGTTGTGGGAGCGTCATCCCTGGAGGCTTTCAAGAAGAGATTGGACTGCCATTTGTCAGAAATGGTGTAGGGTCTCAGGGTGGAACTAGATGACCTACAAGGTCCATTCCAACTCTGATTATCTGTTAAACCCACCCACCCCTCAAGCAGGAGACCCTAAATATTTACAGCATAGAATATCAGAGCTGGAAGGGACCTTGGAGATCTTCTAGTCCAACCCCAACTCAAGCAGGAGACCCAAGACCATTTCAGATATGCAGCCAAAGACTTTATTCCCCGTTTGAGAAACTCACTGTACAAGCCACGGCTGCTTGATTCCTCTCCCGCCCCCCCACTTCACCCCCCCAGCCAGCCTCCGCGCCCGCCAGGGCAGAGCATGCCAGAAACGACAATTCCCAACCTGCCAAGCGCGCCCAGCCTCAAGGAGGCGGCTCGACGGTTAGAAACCGACCAATGACGGGGAGGGAAAGGGGCGCGGCCGGGACCGTCGGGAGGAGGCGCGCCCTGTCATTGGCTAATTCGAGGGAGAGGAGGCGGAGCTCCGGGAAGGCTGGCTCCTCGCTGCGCTGCGCGGCTGAGTCCAGAACCGAGTCGGGATCCGCAGCGAGCGGGCTGGGTTACTGGGTGTCCGCGCTGCTGCGCCTTTGGATGGCTCTGCGCGGCCGGGCGAGGTACGTCGAGCCGATCCGGATTGGAGGAGCCCATCCTTGATCCGGATTAAGGGGGGTTGGGAAGAGGGTCGCCCGGTTGGGGAGGGGCAGGAGGAGGAGGAGCTGGCGGCGTGGCAGCGGGGATCTGGGTGGGTGGGCGTGTTGGGATCCATCCGAACCTCGGCTGGCAGGCTGGCCGAGGATCCAGCGGGTTCCCTTGCAGGGTCGGCGGAGATTGGCTTGCACGGGTTTGGAGGGTTGTGTGAATGCGTGTCCAGGGCAGCATGGTTTGTGTGGGCAGGACCTGTCGGTCAGCAGTGGGTCAGCAGTGAGCTTGGGTGGGTGCGGCCTATTGGAATTAACAATTAAGAATAGAGTAGGAATGCAGAATAGAGTAGAATAGAATAGAGTAATGTTGTGACTTTGGAAAAAGTGCAAAGAAAAGCAAATAGAAACAGAACAGGATGGCATGGCATGGCATGGCAGAGAAGAAACGATTGATGTGGTAATAATTAGAATAGAATAATGGAATAAAGAATAGAATAACTTTATTGTCACTTTAAGTGTACACTTTAATCAGCATGCATTAAAATGAGATTCCGTTGCATACAAGGGTGACGATCCCTGGATCAGGATGAAACATTTCCTGTAGCGTGACACCCAATAATGAAGCGTGGGAGGGGGCATCTGCCCTGGCGTTGACGTCCTCTCCCTGCTCCCACGTAGCCCATGTGCCACTCTCCCGCAAGGCAGGCAGCCGAAGAGCGGAGCGAGCTGATTCTACAGACGCCCTCTCATTTCCTTCATCCCTGCCTCCTCCGCAGTCCTGGAGCATGCCTCACCTGGGGCGTTTGCAGGGAGGGATGCCAGAGACTTTTTCACGGGTGCCAAAGAGTGCTAGTTAAAGCCCTGTTGGGCAACTAGCTGGCAGCGCAGTCACCGGAGCTCCGGCTTGGGTGACAAACAATTCCCTGGGATGCCCTAAGGAAGCCAGGCTGCGTTTCCATCCCCCTAAAAAGTCGAGGAATCGGGCGGGGGAGGGAGGAAACTCCGATTTTCCTTGGGAGTTTAAAAGAGGGGAGTGGAGACCCCCTTGGCTTGGGGGTCCTAGGATTGGTTGCCTTTCTGAGATAACCGATCGATGCTCTGCCTGACCCTCTGGACCTTGTTTGCTTCCAGGGCTCCGTCCGTTCCGACCCTGAACTAGTTTTTGGAAGGACCTTCCTTTCTGTGCCTGGCCGGCTTCTTTGGACAGAAGGAGGAGTGGGGGGGGGGGGGCCAAGGGCGGAATCTGACAGCATGTCCGACGAGGCGCTCCTGAGCATGGACGAAGGCACGCTCCGGAAACTGGTGAGTTCCTTTCCCCTGATGCTCCGCTTGGAGAATTGAACCGTTTTTTGCGGCTTTGGGGACGGCGGAGCTGAAAAAGAGAAATGTTCCTTGTTTTTGCCCAGCGATGTTTGTGAGTGGTTTGGAAGCCTTAGACGTTGTGGTCGTTTCGCCTGCTTCCTTTTCGTCAGTTATGCGTTCCTCCCATCCATCCCTTCGGTCCACTGTGGATTTGTGCTTTTTTTGTTGATTTTTTTTTAATGGCTTCCTTTTGCAGGCCGAAAGGATCGTTTCCCAACTTTGAAATTTGTCACGTGCTGCCTGTTTGTGGGTTGTGGATAACAAGGGCGTGTTCACCACCCTGCACTAAACTCAGAGTTGTTGTTTTTTTAATACACTTTATTGATTTTACAGTTAAAATAGACCAACAACACATAAGTGTAGGAGAGAAAAAGAAAATAAGAAAAAAAAAAGAATAGAAAGAAAAAGATAGAAAACAACTAAAAACATTTTCATCTTCCAACAGTTTGTGAGACCTCCTTTTTATCCTTATTTTATGCCACATACACAATTAATCCTTATATATATCTGTCTATCACTACTGCGATTCTATCGTATCTTCTTTTGCCTTTTAGTGTGAAATCTATCTTTGGTCTATACATTTGTACCGGCAGTTCCAGCTGTCGTAATATATTGAAGTGTCTCTATCTTTTAATGACAAGGTTAACTTGTCCATGTCCATGTTGGAAACAGCCTCATGTTCCGTAAGAGGAGATGATTATTCAAAAAATTTCAAGTTGTGCAGAAATGGACAAACTCAGAGTTTTAGGAGCCTGGTGTGCTGAGCAGCCAGCTGTGCCTACGTTTACAATAATCCCCAAAGTGAGACTTTTGAGTGACAAAGGAAAAAGAGAGGAAAAAAATAAAATAAATTCAGGAGCCAAGGAGCTTTAAGGGGATGCACGAACCCATCCTCCTTTGAGATGGGAGCATGGGACAAGATTACAGAAGCTGCTTGATCAGATTCTGTAAATTTGCCCCGGTTTACAAAATTACAGGGCTCCTTCTTATGGAGTTCACGCCAATCCAAAGGCGAGGAAACCAGAGCACAGCTTATTAAGTGGCTGTGACTTAAAGCCTTACTTAACCCAATTACTCAATTACCCGCTTTCTGGCTCCTTGCAGGATAGATTGGATCTTAAGGCAACCCAACCGGCTAGATGCATGAAACGTGCTAAGCTGCAAATAGCTCATCTATATTACAACCAACCCTGCTTATGCAAAGTAGCTTCTCTCGAATTGTCCTGGTTTTAGAAGCCCAGGGGGTGAATGGCGGAAGGGTCTTCTTGGAGGCTGTCAGAGCCAGGCAAGGAAGCCCCTTCTCCTCTGCTTTGGCCACATCGAATTGCGCCGCTTTGAGACCCCATCTTGGTTTCGCAAGCTTCCTTCTGTCCCGACTCCTTTGGTTTATATTTTGACGGCAGTCCTTCTGTGACGTATCTTTTGAGTTTGTGGTGAGTTGATGCCTGCCCCTAGGGCACCTTGGGTTCCGCAGTTGGACACAGACGTTGCAACTACTTCTTGTCACGCGGTTTGGAAACCCTTCTTTACGTAACGCTTAGATGTCCAAATCCTTTGCCGTGAGAAAACGGAGTCCGTTGGCGTTCAGTGGCTTTCAGCTAGATCGCTTCCATAGATCTGTTACTCTCATTCTAGTTCTCCATTCACTGGGAAGGACTCACCTAATTGCTCCTTTACTCACTCCGCCAGCAAGAAAATAAAATATCCACCTGAGGCTTATCTGGTGTCTCAGCTTTCGTGCCAGTCGGAGCAAAAGTGCTATATAAGCTTCAAGGTTGGCTTTGCGCACGTTGTGTAAACTTCGCCATCGCGGCTTAAAACCCATGGGCTTACAATAGACTTCTCCAACCTGGCTGCCCTCCGGTTGTGTGGTTTCCAATTCCCAGGGTTTTCAACCGCGGCCTTAATAAGTTGTGGTGCTTTGGAGAATAGCTTGACTCCCTCTTCTTTGGGGCAGCCCCTCAAGTATTGGAACACTGCTATCCTGTCTCCCCTGGTCCTTCTTTCCAAACCCAAATCCTGCAACCGTTCTTCATCTGTTTTTAGTTTCCAGGCCTTGAATCCTCTTAGTTGCTCTTCTCTGCACTTTTTCCCAAAGCAGTGTGGACTTCAACTCCCAGGATTCTCCGAGCAGCGTGAGAGTTGAAGTCCACACAACTTCAAGCTATCAAAGGTTGAGAAACCCTGATCTAAACAGTAAGCCTTTCCAGTCCCACCTAAACTGGGTCCAAACTTTTAAGGATCGGCCACGGTTAGACAGGAGCTGCTGCCTAGCACAGGGGTCTCCAACCTTGGCCACTTTAAGCCTGGAGGACTTCAACTCCCAGAATTCTCCAGCCTGCCAGGCTTAAAGTGGCCGAGGTAGGAGACCCCTGTGCCAGCAGGTCTGACTTACTTTTGCAACGCAAGGAGCCAAATTCGTGTTTCTTAATTTTGCTGCATTGTGGGGTATCAACCCCTCCTGGATGCTAGATGGTTGTTGTGGAGGGAGCCCCCGTCCCAAACGTGTTACTGCATTGATTTCACTTCAAAACCGTGGCCAGACAAGTTGCCAAACTGGGCCTTAACAAAGGTTTCACTCGGGGGCAGAAACGTTGGGCTCGGCTTGGGTCAGGTCAAGGACTAGCTGAACTACAAAGGTGTACTTGGATAGGGGGAGCCTCAGTTTCTCCCTCCCCTCCCCGTCCGTGGCCCCCAATATAAAAGTTCTCCTTCCTTGGGAGCCGTTTTCCTTCCAAGCCAGTTTGTCTTCTGTTCTCTTTTTTGGGCTCACCTGGCCCCGCGGCCGCCGGAGAGAAGGCAGTGCTGCCTGCAGCACACAAGGGCCCTTTGTGCTCCGTGGCAGGGATTCCTCACCGTTTGCGCTATGGGGAGGAGCGCCAAGGCCCGGCCCTGCCTGGAAGGGGGAGAGCCTTGTTCAGACTTGAACCCATTGACACTCACCTCTGCCAGACGAGGCATCGCCCACCAGGAAGGCTTTGGCAGGCAGGCGGCTTTTCTCAAAGGATGGGGGTTGGAAAGTCCCTGTCCTTTCGCTGGCTGGGGGATTCCAGCTCCCATGGGTCCCAGCCAGGACCTGGGCTACGTGGCACGTAAGGAGTGGAGCTACCGTCCCCAACACGGAGGTCATATTATAATTTTTATGCCCTAGTTCAAGGGTCTTCAAACTTGGCAAGTTTAAGACTTGTGGACTTCAACTCCCA